AAGCCGCAATGTATCCTCAAAACTCAACACATTGCCTCTAAGCCGCAATGTATCCTCAAAGCTCAACACATTTCCTCTAAGCCGTAATGTATTCACAAACTGAGAACATTTCCTCTAAGCCGCAATGTATTTGCAAAATTCAGAACATTGCCTCTAAGCCACAATGTATTCGCAAACTCAAACATTGCCTCTAAGCTGCAATGTATTACCCAAATTCAACACATTGCCTCTAATCCGCAATGTATTATCCAAGCCAACACATTGCCTCTAAGCCGCAATGCGTTCTCCAAACTCAAACACATAGCCTCTGAGCCGCAATGTATTCACGCTCGAAACATCGCCTCAGACGTCATGCAGCAATTCGTAAACGTAACCCATGGCCTCAGTCTTCAAGCAGCCATGCACCATCAGGTATTAATAGGAGAATAAGCCAAGACATACGAAACCACACTTTTAATATCAAAGACTATCTGCCTCGTTATCAAACTCTGATAAGTCATATATCATCAGCTTCGCCTGTTTTCTCAAGATTCGTAAGGGTGTGCTACATCAGCGTAACCTTATGATTGGTCGGACAAATTTTGGGTATTCCAAGTATTCAATAAACTCCCAATCAGAATGTGCCAGACTCGCATTTTCTCGCGCTATTCGATTGGAAGATAATTGAATAGGGGCACCTGTCGTACCCCAAATTTGTCCTACCTCGATAATTCTATTCTTCGAGATTAAAATAGAAGAAACATTTAATTAAGGATGGTACATCACTATCTGATGGCCCATCTTCATCCAAGAAAAAGGGTGTATTTTATTTCAAGAAAATGGGGCTTTCTAAATTAGAAAGACTCATAAATCCGTTTGCGACGCATGTTTGCCCATGGCCCATGCAATTCAAAAGAAAAATAATAAAATTTAAGTTATTAAATTATAAAGTCTACTTAAATTTAAGTTACTATTAATTAATAATTGCTACATAAGGGTTCATTAACTGTTATTGTTGTTAGTAAAAAGAAGAGGTGAAACTTTAAATTTAAAGTCCACTAGAATTCGTATTGGCCCATTTTGTATTGGTCATTGAATAGCAAAAGAGGGGTATGGTTATAGATTCATAAGCCCATTGAGTTTTTGTTAGCCAGCCCATTTGACGTTTTTGTCATTACTGTCTTATTTCCAAAAAAATGTTACCATCATTAAAATTTTCAATTATTATAATTGGAAAAATATTTATACAAAATTATTAGGAGACTGTTATTTTTTGTAATTAAAAAGATTTTATAAAGTATTTTATTAAACATTTGTTGTTACAGTTTTGCGACAAATAAAAAAAAGGAAACAAAAAATCGGTTGCATCGCTAGGCCCAATTCGGACTAATGTTGTGTTGTTGCAGGAACCATGTGAAAGCCCAAAACCATTGAGTAATATTGTCGAGCCCAAAGGAAAAATTTTTGCACAGATTTGTGAAGGAAAATAACGTTGGCCCAAAATCAGAAAACATATACTGTATCAATCGTAACAAAATTAACGCACTATTTGGTATCAGAAACAAATACGGTAGAAATCTAAAAAAACTAATCAAACCAAATCTTTACTCAATTAAATTCAGGAAATCTTTCTACAAAGCTGAATCCAATATATTATAGTACATTATCCAACCGAATCAAATCCCCAATGAAAATATCAATTACAGTAAATTGAATCACATACATAATCAAATACTCTTACAAAATCGCGTATTAAAGAAAACTAATTTCAATCTAACATTACATCAAATCAAATCTAAGATAGAATCAATTACAAGCGAACAAATTAAATATCGTAATCAATTACATTGAACATAAAATCCCTAATGGATCTAATGGTCCTAAATTTAAGTAACTGTAACAAATAAAACCCTAAAAACTAACTGTATAAATAGGAAGGAAGGAGAGAAGAAATGGAGGAGGAGATAGACCGAGAGGAACAAAAATTGAAGCAATCTGGAAAAAAAGAGTGCGTAGAAGCTGAATCACCACATTTGATCAGAGAAGAAGCAATTAGAGAAGAACCCTAATTATTATTGATATTTGTAATTGTTATTATTATTAATTTTTATATTTATTATTATTATTATTATATATTTCTATAATTACTTAATTTTTACTATTATAATTATCATTATTATTATAATTCTTTTTTTATATGAATATTATTATTCTTATAATTTATTTACTATTTAAATGTTACTATATTATCAAATAAATTTATTTTTATATTAAAATTACATATATTATTTTATATATTATTTGCATTAAATCTTTTTTCAATCATGCATTAATTAAGATATTTTCGCAATTGATACGATTAAAAAGCATAAACTAATCATCAAATTATTTTCGCAATAAACTAAACTAATCAACTATTTTTGCAAAAGGGTTTCAAACTAGTTTTGACTTACTACGCACTGAGTCCAAATCTCCGCAATCACTACTCCCGACAAAGTGCAAAGTTGGTATCAGAGTAAAAGGTTGGTCCGACCTTGTCGTCGAGTCGTAGTTTTCTAACAGTTAAATATTGTTATTTGAGTTCTAATCGTTGTTTATGTTGAAGTGAAAAGTTGTGATGGCTGGAAGGAATGGATATGCACTTGCTGCTGATTATGTTGAAAGATTGGGTCTTGTGTTGTCTTCTTTGAATGGAGAAATGGTCATCGATACTCTAGTCAAGGGGTCGGTGACTACTTCTTTGGTGTGTGTTAAGTGTTCCTTGTCGATCTTCGACAGAGACTTTGTTGTTGATTTGGTTTGTTTATCGTTAAGAGGCACTACAAGAAAATTAGTGTTTAACGACACAAAAATTGCGACAGTTATGTGATAACTGTCGTAATTGACATATAGAGACAGTGTTTACGACGGTTGACACCAACCGTCCCTAATATTTATTTTGCGACGGTATATTTAACCATCATAATATTATTATTACGACGGTAAAACAACCGTCGGCCCCCATTTAACACTTTTAACATTGATTTTTCACCAACAACTAGTCACGACGGTAAAATTAACCGTCCTAAAAGGCATATCACGACGGTAAAGCACCCGTCGCACCCTTAAACCTTTCACGACGGTAAAATTATCCGTCCTAAAATTCATTTCACGACGGTAAAACAACCGTCGCACCCAAAACCTTTAAAAATTCTCATGGGCACGACGGTAAAACACCCGTCGCCGTAAAAAAGTTAAAAAGCTCTTAAAAAGCTCTTATTCATTTCATTATTCTTGTTACAATTTTATTTTTACAGGGAACCCTTCATCTCTCTCCCGTGCAGCCTCTCACCCCCCAACCTTCAAACCCTAGCGTCATATCCTCTTCGCGACGACGGTGTACCCAGTTCTCCCTCAATCAAAACCCAACCACCAAAAACAAACAAAAAGCTAAAGATCTTACCCCTTTCGCGATTGCTTTATGACTTTCTGTCCGATTTGTTCTGATCTTCTTTCTCTCTTGCTTTGTAGATTCTGGCGAGTTCGAATGGAATAGCGGCGACGAAGCTACGGTGATTAGCAATTAGGGTTTTAGATGTTTAAATCCTAATTGCTCTTTCTCTTTTCGTCTTCAACGACAACGCTGGTATCTCCTTCTTCGCGTTTTAGATGTTCTTATCCTATGTTGCAGTGAATCAGGCCATTACACTTATTTCAAGTGTATGTTGGTAGAAGAGTTAGTGGTGTAACTCCAAAAAATTTAAGTTTATACCCAGGTTGGTGGAACTCTGTTGCATTGGCCATCTAGCACCAGAAATTCTTAGTTATGTGAATATTTAATTGAAGAAGGAGCGGATGTAAATGATGTTGATAGAGCTGGTGAAACTCCTCTAATGAATGACATCCTTTGACATAACAAAGAGGTATGCTTATTCTACCCATATACATATGTTCATTAGTGCATCACTTTCCATCTTTTCTTTCATCTTATCACTTCTTCTACTATTCAATTTCAGAATCTAGGTTGAGTTATTAAGAACAAAATTTCTAAGATGGTTCTGAAATTCTATTTTACTGTTGTTCTAGATCTGACTCTGGTTTCGTCAGTTTATAGGTATTTTAGTTGACACCTAATAAATGAGCACATCTAATACCCTAAGTACCAATATCAGTAATTACACTCTTTTTGATAAAAATAGTTATAAGTTAGGAGAAATCTTCTATCTGATGATGGTAACTTACAGTGGATAATGGACTATTATATTTCCATATGGAATCACTAAATTGATTTGTATTTGGTTTTGATGAAATGCAATAGTTTGATTTTACAGATAAATATAGAGGAAAACATGACAGCAACATCATAGTTGCACAAAAGTACTACATATCTATCAGTGGCTATAATGTAAGATTTTTTGGTTCAATGCAATTCTGGATCAATATAAAAAAAACTATACATTTGAAATTTGAAATGAATATTCGAATTATAATTGAATGCACATGATGAATTTCTATGTCCTGCTGCATGGTTGTATTAAGCATCTAACAACCAATATTACTTGGATTACCTTGGTAGAAATGGCGACTCCATGGGAGAAATTGGTTCGCAAATGACTTCCCTGAAATGCTTGAGCCTCATTGAACTCGGACAACAATCCTGCTTGTGCATTTTTTTCATCTTCCCCAGTTACATTACCACTTATGCATTGCACCTTCTTCTGAATCACTGTGTTTTCGTGAATATTAAAAGATAAGTGATTCTTCATAATCTCTATTTGATTCACAATATTTACACTGCAACTTGTCATGTCAATTGCTTTGAAACATGATGCCTGACTGTTATAAATAATTTATGATGCAGGTCAGTTCATTGGTTGATGGCATGTGCAACATAGCATGTGGTATGTTGGACTCCTTGCTCCATAATTCTGCCAAAATTGCCCTAATTGCTCCACAACACGCCACGTCTTATGTTTTCAACATGACACGTCTTATGTTTTCAAACTATCAACTACACCTCTTTTCTTTATCAAAATGTAAAGATGCATTTCAAAACAAAAACTTCTGCTGCCCTACTTGATATCAAGATTGATCGAGAAATATTGGATTCAGTTACAGTTGCCCTTAAAGAATGTTTGTTTCTTTCATATCAGAATATGCAGAATATTATTCTATTGTTTTCTATTGCTGTGAGTTTTTAAACTTCCAATGTTAATTTATTTGTTCTAAAACAAATTATACAGATTTTCGCAATGACGTCTCATTAGTCTTGTTGTTGGATTGGTACTGCTGCTATTGGCTCCTATTATTAGCAGTTGGGTTTCGTTTTATTATAATAGTTCAATGACCATATGAATCTTTCTTGTGCTTACAATATTTTTTAATGTATATTACATCATCTTATATTTCATTTATTTGCATCAGGCTCTACGTTTGGAGTAACTCGACGTCGATTTCGGGTTTATGTACATGCTATTATTCTATTTACATATTATTATTCTATTTGCAGGTTCAGCATCTGATTGCAGAAGTCAGTGAAATTATGACTAATGATACTGTAGATAAGGCTGGTTTGTGGAAAAACAAACTCATTGATCAGTCATTGGAGCTTTTAGATTATTTACCTCAAGCAATTCAAGACATTTGCTTCTTGAAAGAGATCCACATGGAAATGTTCAAGTACCTAAAGTTGCATATCATTATATTTTGTGTTCATTTGTCTTCTTTATCCAATTTTGAATCAGTATCATTTTCTACCATGACAATTTGAGAGTTTTCTTGTACAGGCCAGGGTTTACTTTAATAAAATACAATGCTTCTATTTTGAGGAGCAGCAACTAATTCTTGGAGAGCAGATTGATATGCCATTAAGTAGTTTTCTCAGTCTGAACTCAAGTATTCAATAATATTCCTGCCATATTTAGTTTGTAATATATTATTGACATTATCTTTATCTTCTACATAAAGGTATAGGAAAAGGAGCCATATCCAGTAGCGGGGACAACAACCGGGATGCATATTTGAATATGTCGATTGCAGTTCTTGCTACCCTTTGTCGTGTTCCAGAGATTATATCCTCTGAAGACTTGATTTCCAAGATCCCAGTGATATTGGAAGTAATTTCCACCCAGTATAATGTTTTTCTTTTCTTTCGCATTACTTAATTCTAATTTCCACTATCGCTGTGTCAACGAGTCTCTCAGCCCCTACACATTTTGTTCGCTATTCTCACAGTCAACTATAGTATTTCCTTTCTTAACTGATCCGTTAAACCAAACCTGCTTTACATGTACCTCAGGAACCAAACACGTTCTTTTCAAAGAGAAAAGGGAACGAGAAGGAAATTCTAATCGCTTCTTTTCAGGTTCTCATCTTAAAATGTTGTTTAATCTTCTATAGTTGCTTAATTGTTCATTTATTCGGTTATTTGACGAATCTTATCGTAGGTTGTGAGGAAAATTCAGTTGCAAATTCATGAATTTGATTCTTCTTCGAATAAAGAGGACTTGCACGGTTCAGAGAAGCACTGTTGCATCCATCAATGTCTACCAAAAATTGTGACTAAAATAGTAAGTGTCAGAACCAACAATTCATTGGCATTCTTTCTGTTATTTGTATTTTCTATGTTGTAGGTGAATTTGTTAGCTGTTGAAATTTGTTCAACATGTTGCGATTAATAATTACTTTCATTCTACATGTTGTGATACCTAGACAAATATTATTGAGTCAATACGAATTTAGGAAATTATAGACATTTTATTAGTAAGCTCATGCTGCCCTGTTATGAAAAAAGTTGGTATTGACTCAAATCGACCTCAAGTCATTTTTGTCATTAAAGATGTAGGGATTTTGTAACATCTGTTGACTCTTTGTTTCTTTTGTTAATATTTCCTTTATTCTCTAATGATTGTATTTCTAATTCATGTTGACTTGTGCAACCAATCATCTATTGTGTCATTTTCATCTCAATGACACCAAGTTTACATTATTTTTTTTTGTTTGACTGAATTTCATATTAATTTATACCTTGACACTCATTGCATGGGTTGATCTGGGTAAACTTGCAAGTTGTATTGATAGATGTAGAATTGATAAAAGTTGTATTGTAGTTATCAAGACTATGTAAGATTTTATCTTCCACAGGTAAAATAGAGCTCTTTTCCTGTGACTTTTATTTAGAACAGGTATTTGAATTTACATTGATCATTATCAACATAACATGTATTGCACATGTAGTTTACAAATGTTTCCAAAAAACTGAACATGTCAGCTTTACTAGGTGGCATGGAATCATTGGAAGACTAGTTCAAAAGAAGATAACTGGGCTATATGGAACTGAATTTCTTGTTTTTTCAGCATGCTTTGCACTCAACAATACAATGCCGAAAAAAGGTAATAGTATTATTCTTGAACTTCTCACAACAGTCATAGAACCTTATAAACAAGATGCAAAAAGATGCTAATGCGTTTGTTTTTTGCAGGACAACCTTTGATCATTAGCAATAACGGAGCAAGTGGCGTTTATCCAGGTTCTACCAATCTTGCTTATCAACAAGCAATAGACGATGGAGCTGACATTATAGATTGCTCGGTTCAAATGACAAAAGATGGAATTTCATTCTGCTCAAATACAGCAGACCTAATGGCAGATACAACTGCTATGACTAAATTCATGTCGCGGACTTCCAATGTTCCAGAAATTCAACCAAATAGTGGAATTTTCTCCTTCGATCTCACGTGGAACGAGATCCAAAGCTTGCAACGTAATGCTTCCGTTTGACTTCAAAAATTCATGAAGAATGGTGGATAGCAACGTAATGATTATGGAACTCGCATTTTACATGATTATGGAACACACATTTTTTTGGATATTATAATGCTTATTTGATGTTAAATATTTTTTATTGAAATTATTTTTACTATATTACAAAGTGATAGAAAATAAAACAAAAAATAATACTATAAATAAATATATTAAAGAAGAAATAATTTAAAGAAAAAAATAACACAAAAAAAAAACTATATTTAAATTTTTTACATAGATAATAATTTAAATAAAAAATATATATAATAGAAAAATAAAAAAAAATCAAGACATAAACAAAAGTCATGGCGACAGTACCGAACCGTCATAATCAACAATTAAAAATAATCAACAAAAGTCATGACGGTATCGAACCGTCGCCATAAACAATTTAATCAATTTCAAAAGATATTCACGATAGTATCGAACCGTCGCCATCAATAATTAAAAGAAACTCAAAAGATAGTCACGACGGTATCAACCCGTCGTAAACTTGAACGACAGTTTTTGTAACCGTCGCGAAATAGGTTGGGGACACACACTTCTGCGACGGTAAAGCAACCGTCGTGGAAAGCAAATTGCGACGGTTTTAACCGTCGTAATCTACAAAAATACCTGTCGCAAACATCAAAGTATGAAGATAGAAGATGAATTTTAAATTGGCTCCAAACATTGATCAAGTTATCATCAAGATCAATCATCCATTTTGGTGGATTATGGTTTTCGCCCTATCAACACCCAAGATCCATTGAGCTTGACGAAACTTGTGATGTTTACAAAGAAAGACCTCCAAATTCCTTCAAAGTCAAGTGAAAAGGGTTTTATGGATGCATGAATGCATGGCTATGCAACAACCACAAGCAAGGTCACAAACATGGGGTTCAAAGGTTCAACGTTTCAGCATGGAGTCGAGGGTAAAGCCCACCCCAAGGTATGTACTAACGGTTTAATCACACCTGTAAGACAAGGTTCTAAGAGTTCCCAGAGTCTACATTCCTCCTTCGGATATTACCAACGTCTTGATTACTCAATAATTAGCAATATTCTCAAGAGAAACTCATCCGAGCGTAGCATCGCGTAACAACTACTTCCGAATTACTCCGTTATAGTCTCCGCGCTACACCTAAAAGGCCAAGATGGGTTAGGGTTCTACGGTTCCCAGCTTCTCTGGCTCCCAGGTCGAAAATAATAATGTCTTCCCGATTACTCGGTAAACAAATATTACGTTCAAAAGGGCCTTCCACTGAGTGGGGGATCTCATGCCTCCTTCTTTGGGATTACTCCCTCAAAGTTAACATGACTGTACCGCCCGTCCTATTCTTAAGTGTAACTTAATCCGGGTATAAGATTCGTCCTTTGCAAAAAACCCAAACAACCCCAATATAAACACATAATCAAACAAAACAAATAATCAAACAAAACAAATAATAATAAAACAGATAAAACAAACTAGGCTTAACCCACTTAGGGATGGACCAGCAAGAGGTCAATCTATTCCCCAGCAGAGTCGCCAATTCTGTAGCGATAAAAAATGTAACGGGGTAAATCGGAGATCGAATTATTGATTAATTCGTCTCACAAAAGAAAGAGTCGCCACCGCGCTTTATTATTTCCAAGGGAAAAGGGAAAAGAGCGAAATAAAACCCTAGATATGCAATGTAAAATAATACTTTTTTTAAAGTAATAAAAATACAAGGCGTTTTGAAAAGAGATCTATGGTTCGGGGGTTGGTTATACAGTGGGAAGTTATTAGCACCCAATGTATCTATAGTACTCTATAGGAACCTTTTGAAATATATGTTTACTAAAATTGTTCGTTTGATTTAAAAATAAAATGTTTTGGCCGAAAAGGAGTACGGACGGGTTTTTGAAGGTGCGACGACCTAATGTAGAAGTTTTTGCTTAAAAGGTATGAGTTTTGAAAAGATTGAGTTTTTGGGGGGAAAATTGTCTTAAGTTTTCAATGAGATGAGGGTATTCGCACAATGTTTTTTTGATGACATGAAGTCGACAAAAATTAGACAATTCCCTTGGATTTAGACATAAACGGAATAAACAAGTACGATGAAATAATCAAACAGAAAATTATGTGGATAATGATATATAACAACTAAATAAAAGGCTAAATGGTGTGAACATGTATTTTTTTAGATTTTTTTGTTTAATAGGTATAACGCAAGAGAATTAATCAAGAGAAATAAAATGTTTTTTAAGTTTTTATTTTTTTTATGTTTTTTAATATTTTATTTTTATATGTTTTTTAATATTAACAAAAGCATTATTTAAGAATTAATAAATAAATCTAAACTAAGTTTAAAACTTAAAAATTACTAATTAAATCTAATTGGAAATAATACTAAAAAATTACTAGATTAAACCTAAAGCTAAAAGTGATCCAATTATTTGATTAAAATTACTAATAACACTAAGTTCTAAAAAACTAAAAGAAGATAAATAGAAAGAGGTGTCAAATTAAAGGGTTAGATAATGAACAAAAGCATGGGCCTAAGGGTTTTAATGGGGCCTGATCAAAACACAAAAAAAGGGGGTGCATAAGAAATTCGTTGGGCTTTTGCAAGAAAAGGGTTAAGTCCATTCTCATAATTGTTTTTTAGGGTTAACATTGTTTTAGCTTAGGGAAAGAGTGGATTAAGGGTTTGCACAGAAGCGGCGCTCCTTCGCTCGTACCGTCTTCTTCATTCTCATCTTCTTCGTTGTGAGCTTCTGAATTCGCCCTCTGAGTTCCTCGCCACGGCCACCAGCATCCCAATCTTCTTCTTCCCTCCAGCAAAGCGTTAGGGGCGACGGATTTACGGTAAGCTTGTGTTCTATTCGTTAGAGTTTTTTATTACAATTTGCATGTTGTGATCTATGTTCATTTCGATTCTAACTTCTGGTTATTAATTGTTGTTTGAGGTATTGAAAGAAAAAAGAAAGAGAAACGTTACCTGGAGACGGAGGAGGGAGGTTGAGACAAGCTAAGGCGGCCAAGGTGCGAGGTAGACAGTGACGCTGTGAGCTTTGCTTCGGTTGCCTGGTACTCTGTATTTGTATCTTTCCTCTTTTTTTCTTGCCTGCTTTGTTTCAATTGCCTTCGAATAATTTTTCTCCTCTTCTTCTTCACTGTGATTCTGTACACTTAAATTTGGTTGCCTATGATGACATTCTGAGGCTTCTATGTCGCCTTGAACATGCTATTGTTGCCTTGAACATGCTATTGTTGCCTTGAACATGCTATTGTTGGAATGTTTGTTTTGACTAGCTTGACTCTTCTTCTTCTTGCCTTGCTATTGTTGCTTTCTTAATGTTGGCCTATGATGAACATATCTGAGGCATTGATGTTTGACATTGGTTTGAGGTTTTTGGTTGCCTTACTGTTGGCTTTTGCTTTTTGGTTGCCTTGAGTTTGAATCAGGTAAGGCCTGAACTATTACAAGGTTTTAGGCTTGACGGTTAGGCTTGATGGTGGCTTTTTGTGGTTTAAGCTATGTGTTTGTGATTTCGGTCAGGTTGGGCGTGTGATGATTGTGAAAGTTATGTGGTTGATCATGGTTTTCATGGTTGAACAGGGTGTATTGGTTTTTAGGCCATAAGGTTTTACTGATTTTCTGGTTTTTCTGGTTTTTTAACTGAGCATGATTTGTTGGTTTATGGCTTTACTGGTTTTTACACAGGTTTGGAATGGTTTTGATTTTGGTGATGGCAGGTCCTATGGTTTTAGGACATAGGGTTTTGAAATGGTTATGTATGTTCTGGTTTTGCAGTAGGTTCTACTGGTTTATGCAGTAGGTTCTACTGGTTTTGTTTTGAGACTTGGAGAAAATCGTTTTGTTTTGATAGTTTTGTTTTTCAAAGCTTGAAGGCAGGTTGAACTCTCTTCTTTTTATGAAGGGATTGTGTTGTTGTCATAACAGTTGCTGGCTTTCCTATTCTTAAGGTTTACGTTACAGGTTGTGAGTATATTTTTAATATTTTCCGCCTTTGACCTCTGCACATTACTGCTTCATATGGTTTGTCTTTATTCCTATTTCATGCTTCCTCTTCTCTTACTGTGTTACTGCTGTAGTTTGTTTTGTATCCACTTCTGCCTAAACCAAAACCTGTAAAAACACACTTTCTTCTCTCTTCTCTCTCTTAGTACAATTTGATGCATTAAAATGATGTACTGTACTGTATTTGTTCTGAAAAAGCATGCTGGAAAATGATGTAAAATGGAAAGATACATTGCTTGCAAAAATTGTTTAAACTGCATATTTTCTCTTTGTCTACTGCATGGTACAGCAAAGCCTATTGTATGTTTGGCCTCTTCCTATATGGGCATGTTTACGTTGGCTTTGGTTTTGAAAATGCATATGCTGTTGCTTTATGCATTCTATGTTGATTTATGCAATGGCTTTTGAAAAATGCATATGCTTTTGAACTATGCTTTTATTTGAAATATGCAGTTTTGTTCATATGGTTTTAACTTATGCATTGGATTTTGAAAAATTGAGTTTATGCATATTTTTAACTTGTGCAGTTTATTTTGAAAATAAAAATTCATCCCTTTTTGTGAACCGGGAGAAATCCCGTGATTTGCAAAAAGGGCAAAACTGATTCCAGCCGTTTGCTTTTAATGATGAACGCTAATTAATTTTTTTTCTTTTAATTTATTTATTTCAATTCTGACTTTTTCTTTTAATTCTTTTTTTGCAGGTAAAATCAAATGAGCAATCAAAGAAGCATTGGATAGAAGATGAAGATTTAGGACTTAGAAAAATTAGGATAGCTTTTATTTCATTTTAAACATTGTAAAAATTATCGTTGTAAATACGTTGTGAATAAATACGGTATTTAAACAACAATTGTAACAATTAGAATAAAATGAATAAAATTCTATTATTTCCCAGTTAATTATTTTCTTCTTTCCAATTATTTATTTATCGTTTATAATTCTTTAAATTATATAATAACTGAAAATCAATTTCAATTACTTA